AGTGAAAATCTCTCCAAAAAAAAAAAAGAAAAAGAAAGAAAAAAGATTTCAGTTTGTTACAAAAATAGTATGTAAACAATCAGAACTGTCCAAAAGTGGAGCAAATTGCTTTCTGAAGTAGCGAGTTTCATGTCACTTATTTGCTGATCCATTTATTAAGAATATATACTGGATCTTAATTATGGAAGCTCAGATTAAGTGACATCCGAGTTCCTACTCACCTCAGAACGCAGTGCTTTGGTGTGTCTACATGCTCCACTTCTTGCAGTCAATGGTCACAACTCAGTAACAGTCCTTCCTAACTGAACAGTCCTAAGGAGTGAAGTTTAGCATTTTGGCCTAACATCTTACATGTTTATTTGTGCTATAAATTCCCTTACCTCTTCTTTTTCCCCTCTGTGCCCTTTGCCATAACTTTCTTTTCTTCTCATTTTAAGCAGATTAAACTACTTTTTAGTTACCAGTAGATGAAAGTTTTAGTTCTGACCATATCTAATGGAAAGCTTTAGAGATATATAGAAAAAGATCTCTCAAAGCCCATATTGTCATTTTTTAAAAGAATTATTTATTTAGTTTTATGTATAATTATTATTATTTGTAAATTTGCTATAGGGCACATGTGCTCACAAGAGAGAGAGGGAGAAAGAGAGAGAGAGAGATAAGAGAGAGAGAAAGAAGGAGAAGGAAAGTGAAAAAGCAAGTTGCCAGTTCCGGGACTTGAACTGTAGTCAGCCATGTAGGAGTCCAGCACTTTAACCACCACACCACCTGCTGGGGCCCATGTTGTCATCTTTTAATAAGCATATCTGGTTCTGTCTTGCTGAATTCTGATATTTGCCACGCATTTTCTTTGAACTCCTAAAGCTGGTTGATCTGGTGATCACAAACCCACATTGGACCATTTCTCCCATGGACACAGTTATGAATTAGCTACGCATGTGTTTGTAGGCTTAGATTATTGTGTTATCATTGTCATAATGTCACTTGAAACACATTCTTAGCCTTTTCATCTCAAGACAGGTGATTTATAATATTGCCAGATTTATTGAGGCAGTATTTGGCGGTAGGAAATCTGTGTATCAGGGAACAAAAGTCTGACTTCTTATACTGAATTGATCTTAAAGACTTGTGAAAATTTCTTATTTCTGTGAATTTTGTACTATCTGACCTCAATTTTAAATTTCTATTTACTCCATTGCTGTGGTTTGAATGCTGTGTTCTCACTGGAAACTTATGCTGTAACTTGACACTCTGTGTGGTAATGTTGGAAGGCAGAATCTAGAGGGAGGTCTTGGGACATGGGAACAGATCCCTTATGAATAAATGAAAGCTACCAGGGTGGGAGAGAGTTCTACCTAGCTCATTTATGAGAAAGTAAAGTTCTAAAGCAAGTTGGCTGTTCACATGCCTTTTTGCTTCTCTTGACCATGTTGTGACATGGCACCAAAAGCTGACCAGATACCAGTCCTGTGCCTCTAGACTTTCTACCACTAGAATTGTGAGTCAAATAAATCTTATTTCTTTTTATTATAGCAACACTAACAAACTAAATTAGAACCATATTATCAATATAATTTTTGAGTGTTTCATACTTTTAATATATACATTTCATTTAACTACACATTTGACTTAAGTTTACTCCCAAAAGGACAAGGCTGGTCATTCTAGAAGGCACTATCATTAGTGTAAAATAAGGCTAATGGGCCAGTCTGGGTGGTGCAGTTCCTAGTGTACTGGATATAGTGCTAGAAGTCGCATGGCCAGCCGTGGGTTAGGATCTCTGCTGGTTGACCTGAATTATAACCAAGGCATAGTCTCTGTCCAAGATCCTGACAAGCTGGGAGACTGGGCGAGAGGGGTCACACGGTGATGAGACCTTGTCGGTGCTTCTCTCCCTCTCTTTTTCTCTCTCTGATGCATGCACATATGATATTGATCATGAATATAGTAAAATAAACTTTTTTTTTAAAAATGGGCTTAAGAAGAGGTCTGGGACTGTTGAATTTATTTTATGGCTTCATATTTGAGGATGGCAAAAGTCTTAGAAATTTGTGTCTGAATATATTTAGGAAATATTTTTAGCTTAGGTTCCAAATGTTCTTTACTCTGTGGTGTTGACAGTATTATAACCTAAGAAATCCCATATACCATTATCTATAATCTTGAATTGGGTACGCAGATATATGGACTGCCTTGAAGAAGACTGAAGTCACCTGTCAGGGATTTGGAAAAGGTTAAGGCAGCATCTATCTAGCCCAGATTAATAAGTCAGCCTAAGTAGATGCTGCCTAGTAAGCATGGCCTGCTGCATCCTGCAAGACTCAGCCATTGATTTTTTTTCCCCTATGTTATTTGTTTTATTTACATTTCACCACTGTACATCTTGGCAGCATACAGAAGAACTCTTCCGAGCATAAATACACTACATTTTAGTCCAAAGATATTACCATATACTTCTTCCTTAACACATAATTTTACACTTTTGCATTTCTTAAATGATTTGCTTTGCCTTTCCTCTGCCAATTCCCTCCCTCCTGTCCCCCCCCACAATATAATAATATTATTAAGTGCTAATAAATAAGAGACATTGTGTATTTTATTCACACCTAGCCTATTCCCTGGTACCTAATATAAATCCAAGCATTTGTTGAATAAATGAACAAATGAATTAGTGTGTATGCAATAATACAGAAGAGTGAGAAGAACAACCAAATAAAAGTTAACAAAACAAGTTACAATACAGCATGTATGTATGATTACATTTTGGGGTGAAATGAATTAAACAAAAATATTGATGTATAGGAAACATGGAAGGACAATATTTTAAAAAACTGTTGACAATAGGATTACAGGATACTCTCACATTATGTATAATGTGTTTCTGCAGTTTTAAATCTTACATAACATATTATATTTGCAAGATTAAGATATTAATATATTTTAAGTGTATTTTCTTTATTCTTCTAATTTGGTAGGTTTTTTCCAGTCCTTGAAAACTATCCTTATCAATCCTTTGTATATTATGGTCATGCTATTGACATTGATACAATTCAGTGGCTTTATTGGATTTTTCTCATATGCCATAAAATACATAGAGCAGCAACATGGTTTCTCAGCATCTGAGGCTAACTTTGCACTGGGTAAGACATTTTGTTCACCTGTTTGATCAATAACGAAGATACCATCAATTGTGTACATCTCAACTGACATTTGTTGTTTCGATTTAATATTTTAGTGAACATAATTTTCACTTATCACTTCTTAAACCTTCTCAAAGTTGTCAATCTTGCGATGTCATTGCTCTACATTCAAAATTACATCTCATGTTACATAAGCTCCTAAAGATAAGTTGCATGTGAATGGAATATTTAACCCTTGTTTGAATAATTGGATATTACAGTTTAGTGCTGAGCTACTAAGACAAAGCCTTTTATAACATAATCATTATAATCCTATAATTCACAGAGATTGAAGTTAGGGCTCAACTACTACCAAAAAATAGGATGTTGAGGGCCAGCAGGTATCATGTTGGTTAAGGGAGATAAGTCCCACATAACTGGCGCATGGTTCTATCCCCAGACCTGGTGGCTTGAAAATCCCACTGGGCGCATGTGCATGCATACTCAAAGTCCAGACAGGAAAATGGAAGAGAAGGGATTGTAGCATGGTCATCTACCTTGATGAGGGTGATTTCTCACTTTCTCTCTCTTTTCCAGTGAGTACATATGTCCTGTAGCAAATTTAAAGAATTAGTTAATAAAAATAGGATGTTGATGTTCCCAGGAGAACCAGTTTAAATACATTGTCATACTATTTACTATATAAGACACATGTTATATTTTATAGAGTATTTTTTGCTGTAATATTTATTTTCAAAGATATATTGAGATTTGTGTATTAAGGAAAAGTTTTTTGTTGTTGTTGTTGTTGTTTTGTTTTGGTTTTGGTATTGGTTTTGCCATAGGGTATGTGTACTTGCCAGAAAGAAGAGTGACAGAGAAAGTGCGAAATCACTGTCCCCCACCCCTCCAGGGAGGATAGCCATGTCACAGACGCTTCTCCATTTTCCTCTCAGGATTTGGGGAACACGTGCACATATACCTGGCTTGATTTTCAAGCCACTGGGTCCAATACTTAAACTTCAGTTGATCATGTGAGAATTCAACCGCCTTAAGCACGGTGCCACCTGCTGGCCCCAAGGAAAAGTTTTCTTTTGTTATTCTTCCTACAACTCCATTATGCTAAAAACATCATAGATAAATTAAACAATTTAACCCATAATGTATAACTAGGTCACATGGAAAGAAAAAATAATAATTTGAAAGTGAATGCTCTGAAGCACTAAACTAGACTTCTGTATAATTCCCCTGTTGAATCTAAGGTAAAAAATTTAAAATGTAAAGGTTAAGTTTTGATTCCCAGTAACCTAGCCTGAATATTTTGTTGGAGGCATCTTCATCATTACTAATTTTTACAAGACAATGAAATGGAAAAATTATGAGGGATCAACCACTTGTAGTACTAGCAATAGGCCTGTCATCTCACAGTATATGTGTGTTTCAGTGAATAAGGAGATGGTGGGTTTTTTTGTTTGTTTGTTTGTTTTGTTTTGTTTTGTTTTTTTAGAGGTTTTTGCCTTAAGGGTACCTACACTTGTTAGAGAGAGACAGAAACAGTGAGAGTGAGAAATAGCCCCCCAGGGAGAATGAGCATGCTGCAATTCTTTCTCCATTCTCCTCCCGGGATCATGGGCATGCATGCACATGTGCCTGGCATGAGTTTTAAGCCACCGAGTCAGGGATACAAACAGTGGTTGACCATGTGAGCGTCCAGCGATGTAACCACTGCATCATCTGCTGGTCCCTAAGGAGGAGGTATTAATTAGAGTATTTAATTACGAAGCACAGAGAAAATTCTGAGTTATCGGAGCTTAGGTCTCTGAATGATTTCAGCTGATAGGATTAAAGTCTCATAGGCAAAAAGATGATGTTTTGCTGATGTGTTCAAAAATAAATCTTCTGGGGACCAGCAACTGGCATAACATCTGTGTCACTGAACTCCCATGTAGTCAACCACAGTTCGAGTCCTGGACCCGGTGGCTTAAACTCACACCAGACACATGTGCATGCATGCCCAAGATGCCAAGAGGAAGAGAATACATTGCGGTGTGGCCGTTCCCCCTGCGGGGTGATTTCTTGCTTTCTGTCTCTCTCTCTCTCTCTCTCTCTCTGTCTTTCTGGCGAGCGTACACGCCCTATAGCAAAAACCTCTCCAAAAGTAAAAATAAAAGATAAATAAATCGTCTGTTCAGGCACACAAATATTTTAATATCACTGTCTTTTGTCTTTTGCCATTAAGAAAACCAAACCCTCATCGTTGGCAGGAAGAAATTATTTTTTGTCTTTTTCATGTAGTACACTGGTCCCCTACTGCCTCATGGCCTGCTATCCTTCCCCTTAAGTAATAAGATTGAATGAATTTTGTTGATATGCAATGTGTTTAATATGAAAAGCCATGTACCAGAAAATTCATAATTACAACTTTTTCTCTTCTTTTATTTCTAGGACTCATAAACATACCTTCTGTTGCAGTTGGAATGTTTACAGGAGGATATATTATTAAAAAATTCAGATTGACTATGGTGGAAATTGCCAAGTTTATGCTTTTTACCTCTTTTATCTCCTTATTATTTCAACCAATATATTTTTTTCTAATCTGTGAAACCAAACCAGTTGCCGGCCTAACCTTGAACTATGATGGGTTTGTATGCAACACTATATCAGCTGATAAAGTGTTAATATCCAATTAGCAGACTCTTTATAATGAAAAGAGGGCAGCAAACAGTTTTTACTAAATTGGTTTGTAATAGAGCCAAATTTTGATTTACAAATTCTTAGTGTTCATTTCTTGAGACCTAAGAAGCTTTTTCTTTTATTCCTTCCTAAAGAAAATACTATATAGTATTGTAATAATTGTTATTTATTTATTATCTTCATTTTTAAAAATGGAAAAAGTGAGTCTTAGAGTTATGTGGATTATGCAGCTAGCAATGTTAAAATTCTAGTTTAAATTTGGGTTTTTTGACACAGAACCTAATTCAGTCTTAATTGCTGCAATCTTGGATAAATTGTGAGAAGAGTATAAATGACATTCTCCAAAAGTGACTGATTCATCTTTATTTACAGTTCATTTTGCTGTTTAACAATTATCTTTATAAGAGAACAGTTCTACCACTATACAGAATTCTTCTTCTTTTCTCCAAGATAATACTATTTCTTCTTTTATTAAAAGTAGTAGTACATATTCTATTTGTAGTTGCATATTAGACCATGGAGAACCTTTACACTTCCATTATTACTATGCATTATAAAATATTCCTAGAGCTACAGCCTCCACTCCAAATTAAGGACAAGATTTCTGTGCAGACTTAATCATCTCTGAATTTTGGCGGTTCATAGTTAAGCAACAAGCAAAGATCCTCAGATCACATTTTAGTAACCATGCCCATTTGTTCTGCTACTTATTGGCTCTGAGCTTTCAAACTCTGAATCTTATGAGGTTAATTTTAACTTGTTAAGACTTCCTGCATTTCTTTATCTAAGCATTATCCTATTCTGATGCTTTTCAAGCCACTTTTTTCCCCCAAAAGAGGACATGTGAAAGAGAGAGAGAGAGAAAAAACACTGCAATGGGATCTGATCACACTGCAACCATTTTCCTTCCAATTCTTTGCTCCATCAGGATCCTAAGCATGTATGCACACATGCCTCTCCTATTTTTCAAACAGGACGGGGACTCTAACTCTGGTTAGCCATATGGAAGCCAGCTTCCTCTGTGAAGTGCCTAACCACTGAGCTAAAGGGTCAGCCTGGTTGCTTATGTAAATTTAAATGATCTTCCTGCTTGCTAATCTTACTATTTGCAGTTCTAGCCATCAACACCTGCTTTAGTAAATCAAAACACAACGTACTAAGAACATTGAACTTTAGAGGTAAAAGGACCTTTGGCAGCCCACCTCTCTTATAGGTCTTCATTAGTTGGGACCCAGAGGAACTAATAACTTACTTGAAGGCACACAGTGGCATCAAGCTGATGCTACATCACATTAATTGTAAGAACTCCGTGGGTGTCAGACAGGCTTTAAAGTAAAGACAGTTTTCCTATAAATGAGACCGTAGGCTAATTATATGCTGGTTTATATATTCTTGTGTATTAAAAGTGTCTTAGTATTCATTTCTAATATACTGCATATCAAAAAATGTAGCTCAATTAACAAAAAAAAACCATTGAGACCCTCAATATTTTTTTTAATTTCTTTAAAATTTACTATAGGGCATGTGCACTCAGTGAACAGAGAAAGGGAGAGAGAGGGAAAGTGAGAAAACAATCTCCAAGGAGAATGATCATATTGCAATTCCTTCTCTCCGTTCTCTTGGGATTTTAGGCATGCACACACATGTGCCCAGAGTGTTTTCCAAGCTACCAGGTCCAGGTCTCGAACCACACAGTGGGATACAGTTATCTTGACCACCATGCCACCAGAGTGGACTGAGACTCTCAATACTTTATAAGAGTGTGATGGGCTCCTGAGAACAAAATGTTTTTTTTTTAACATTTTCCCAAACTGAAGGTTTTCTTAGGTTTATATTATTATTGATGACTGTTAACCTGGCTTAGCCACATTGCTAGGATGTGTCAGAACTAATAAGAATACAAGAGGTGGTGATTGCACCATCTGGACTGGGTCATTGTCTTAGCTTGGGTTGCTATAACAAAATACCATAGACTAGGTAGCTTGTAACTGCCTAGAATTTTTTTATTTTTTTATTTACATATTTATTTATTTTTTTATTTGACCAGAGAAGGACAGAGAGAGAGAAAGTGAGACCTGACAAGCCGCCAGGTCCCAGACTCAAACCACGATCAACCACGTGGGAGTCCAGCGCCCTTAACTACCACACTACCTGCCTGCCCCAACTGCATAGAAATTTATTTCTCATGATTTTGGAAGCTGGAATGTCTAACACCAAAGTGCTGATAGATTTAATGTCTTCTAAAGGCCTATTTCTTGGTTCATAGATGGCACCTTCTTGCTGTGTCCTCATGTGGTGGAAATGCACAGGATCACTAGTCCCATTCATGAGAACTCTACCCTCATGACCTAATCACTTCTCAAAGGCCCCACAGTTCTTTTTTCTTTTTCTTTTTTTTTTTTGGAGAGGTTTTTGCTATAGGGTGCGTGCGCTCGCCAGACAGATAGAGAGAGACAGAGAGACAGAAAGCAAGAAATCACGCCCCAGGGGGTATGGCCATGCCGCAATCCCTTCTCCTCCATTCTTCTCTCGGGATCTTGGGCACGCACGCACACGCACCTGGCGTGAGTTTAAGCCACCGGGTCCAGGACTCGAACCTCGGTCGACTATGTGGGAGTCCAGCAACATAGCCATTATGCTAACTGCTGGTCCGCCACATCTTAATACTATGACAATGAGGATTAGGTTTCGACCAACAAAATCAGACCATGGTAATCATTAATGATTCTCAATAGTATGTCTTCAAGCAGAATTAAGTATTAGATAAAATTATTGATAACATAATTCCTAAATTGATGACTCTACTTTTCTTTCTTTGCTTAAACTACCTAAACTTGCTCATTCAAAAATATTCATCAATCTTCAAATGATTATCAAGATTTTTACAAAAGCAAAATAACAATTTCCAAAATCTGTCAATAAAAATTAAGAAATAATATATTCTATAATTTTCCATGTTATAAAATTTTATTTTATAATTTATAATCATATTATGAGGAAAAAAACTTTTTGAGAGAGATTTTTTGCCATAGGATGCACACACTCACCAGAGAACAGAGAGACAAAAAGTGAGAAATCAAGCTCTAAGGGAATAGCCCTGCTGCAGTCTTTCTCCTTTAGGAATCTTGGGCATGCGCACACACTTGTCTTACATGAGTCTCAAGCTTCTGGGTCCAGGACTCAAACTGCAGTTGGCCATATGTGAGTCTAGGGACTTAACCACTAAGCCACCTGCTTGCCCCAGGTAAAATTTAAAGTATACTATAGTTTAATTGTTTAAAGAAATAGAGATTTTAAGTCTTTTTCAACTGATTCTATCATTCTTGATTTTTCAAAATTGAGTTTGAGCTTCTGCTCTTATCACATTGAATTCTTTCCTTATGTTAAAATATACTTTTTTTAAAAAATTCAACAAACTTAAATGGCATTCACAAATTCACAATACTTTACAATGAGCTGGAAGGAACCTGCCTAGTGTCATTACCTTTATAGAGAAACTAAGTCTTAGAAAAACAAAGTGACCTATTTGATGTGAAATTCCTTGATAGAATCACAAAGACTTTTTGTCTAAGTTTTGCTTACTCTTTTAGTTCTTTTTTTAAGTTTATTTTTTTTTTCTAGGTCCAAATCATGCTTTGGTAAAGAAAGAAGGTAAAAAAGTGAATACACATTAAGAAAAAAATTTGCCAGCTCAGTCTCAGTGGCACACTACTGAACAACAGGACTGGAAACCACATGGCCAACCTCAGTTTGTATCCCAAGGTCATTCTGAAACATGCTGGGTACAAGTGTGTGCCCAAGATACTGATAGCTAGAGAGCTGGAGGAAAGGCATCATGATGTGACTATAAACTATTGAGAGTGTTTCTCTCACTCTCTCTTTGGTTTTGAGCATGCACCTGCTCTTTACCATAAATTTTAAATAACATAAAACTATTAAAATTTTGCCATTTGTCATAATCACAGATTTCTATAGTTGAAGGAAAATTTATCTTAAAAATTTCTCTTCTTTGCGCTCTTCCTTTCCTGTTTTTTTTTCCCTTCTTCCCTCCTTTCCCTCTTCGTTCTCTTACTATTCTTTTCTCCCTCCCTCTCTCTCTTTTTGATATATGTCTATCATGTATTTCCAGAAATAATACAGTGGGATCTCATGTAGGTGTGCCACTTTCTTATTGCAACTCAGACTGTAACTGTGATGAAAACCAATGGGAACCAGTCTGTGGTAACAATGGAATAACTTACATGTCACCTTGTCTAGCAGGATGCAAATCTTCAAGTGGCAATAAAAAGCCCATAGTGAGTATTCATTTTTTTTACTTTATCTCCTCTCTTTAATTGAAATCACAGAGTGGATGTAACAATTAGTTGTCAAATCTTTCTATAAGTCTCCAGTCAAAAGATGAATATTTGAAAAAGATTCCAAATGATTTGTCATTGTGATGGCTATGATGTTAGGTTAATAAATCTTCATATAAACTCCTATTTGGTACACAATCAGGTTCTTCTGTTACTTGAATTCTAATACAAGATTACCCTACCTTCTCCCATTGAGATTGTGAGAATATCACCTTTTAGAATTTGAATGTGTTAAGGGTCTCTAGGAATCACCTCTTTTGATTGAAGCATATGATTTTAATTTAGTTGGAATTACTTTACCCTTCAAAAGTTAGAGAAAAGTCCTAAGTCAACCCAATGCCAATACTACCTACCTCACTAGTACATTGAGCAATTTCGTATACAGACTCTTTTGAGTCTAGTTCTGGGCGCCTATCCTTTTACTCCAAGAAATTAATCGAGGCTTCATAATCACTAGACAACTCAATTCTTGGCTTCCACTTTGGGTTTCTGCAAATCTTTTTCTACCCAGAATGATTTAATTTCCTGTTCACTTATTACCAATATATCTCATAGAAATATTTGTCATTCAAAACATTTCTTTCCATGCAAACTATGGGTTTTCTCCAGTTCCCTAGGTAGCTGCCAACAGCTAGGGATCAAGTATGGTATTCTTCCTACCTCCAATCTACTTGACATTTCACAAAGTTGGTAATGATTTTTCTGGACCCTCTACCTATTACCAAAATTAATATAATGCATTGACTATGATCATGATTCTGCCACAACTTCTATTTTCAATTTTCAAGCTTTTTTCTATCTTTCCCTTGCTTATATTACTACCAATCATATAACAAAAAGATATGGAAAACTTTCAAGTTATCCTTTAAGTGTAAAGCATCCTAGATTATTTGAAACTGGGTCACAACCATTAATAAACTTGAACAAATAAGGCCCAAAGACTGTACTAAAGTCCCACATTTCAACCGATAGTTATAATATCTTTTGCTGAGAGTGGTCCATTTGATCCATGGTCCCATTTTGCCCACTGAAAATGGACAAAGGCCTGAGAGAGACATGATATTAGAATCTTAAAGAGAGCTCTGGCTACCATGGAGACATCCTCTTAATGCCAACAATGTCTATAACATCTAGGGACTACTAGAAATTTTTTTTGCTAAATCCATAGTAACAAACCATCTTTTCTTAAAATTTTATTTGTACTGAAACTTGGTTTAATTGACCAGTATGCTTGCTCTATAAAAGATTACTACAAATTATTCTTCATAGAATAGCAATTCTAAAAAAGCAAAATAAGTTAAAATGTAAGACTTTGTAGAATCATACAAGTACAGATTTTCATTCTTCCTCAATTCCTCCTCCAGTAGTTAGTGGTTAGTCCTAATTGGTTTGAGATGAACTTTTCTTAAACACTAGTGTAGCCTAGAATCAGAACAGAATTTATTAAAGTCCCCTACCTACATAAAGTGCCTGCTTGGGCCCAGCAGATGGTGTAGTAGTTACGTTGCTGGACTCACTACATGGTCAACCACAATTCAAATCCTGGCCCTGGGAACCAGCAATTAGCGTAATGGCTATGTCGCTGGACTCCCACGTAGTCAACTGCGGTTCGCGTCCGGACCCGGTGGCTTAAAAAACTCATGCCAGGCGCGTGTGCGTGTGTGCCCAAGATCTTGAGAGGAGAATGGAGGAGAAGGGATTGCGGCATGACCATCCCCTTTGGGGGGTGATTTCTCGCTTTCTGTCTCTATGTCTCTCTCTGTTTGTCTGGTGAGCGCACACGCCCTATAGCGGAAACCTCTCCAAAAAAAAAACAAAAAAACAAATCCTGGCCCTCTTGGCTTAAACCTCATGCCCACTAGTCTGAACCCTCATGCTGGGTGTGTGTGTGCAGGCCCAAGATCTCAAGGGGAGAATGGAGGAGAAGGGATTGTGGCAGGGCCAGACTCCCCAGGGCCTGGTTTCTCACTTTCTCTTTCACTGTCTGTCTCTCTCATAAGCGAGTGCACGCACCCTACGGTAAAAACCTCTGAGAAAAAAATGTCTGCTTAATAAAATCTCTAAAATCATATGCTCCTAAATTTGTCATTTCTGTGTGCTGTTGTTAGAGCATTCCAATGTGTTGAACTTCTCTGGTAATCACATTATTTTATTATGTGCACTTGATAATTGTTTTTGCCTGACAAAACAGAATTCTAACATGCTCACCTAATTTCAGTTCTGCTAGACTGTTTCTTTCTTATGAGTAGATTGGTTTTCAGATTTTGGCCTCTTCCAAATTGCTATATTTCTCTATTCTCTGGGTAATCTCTCCCAGGGCCTCTCTCTGACATGTAGTAGACAATATTAAAGAAAAGAGCTAGGTATATGATAGAAGAAAAGTGGGTGGAAGAGAAGTATTAAAAATAATTGAGATAAATTAGAAAATTATATTCAGAGTTTTCAACACTATTTTAAAATTCTTTTCTAATTTTAAAATTAAGAATTAAGATGTTAATAGTAAATTATATTTTCTTATGTCCAAAGGAATCCAAGGAACTACTTTTGCCTTTCAACTATTAAGGAACTGTACAAAAGATCTTCAAAAAGTTCGTGGAAAGTGTGAATTATGAAAAAAAAAAGCTCTGTATGGATTTCAAAATTTTTCTTTGTACCAAAATAAACTCCCATTTTAATCCATTTTCTATGAACTTTCTGAAGTTACCTGGCATTTTTAGGATTTTTTTAAAAACTGTAAATATTTTAGTTTGAATGAATGAGACTTCTTAAAATATAATATAATATAGTTATACTCCTATCACCTTTTGAAAATGTATTCTGTAATATTCCAAAAACTATTTTTTAGGTGTTTTATAACTGTAGTTGTGTGGAGGTAACCGGTTTCCAGAACAGAAATGACTCGGTTCATTTGGGTGAATGCCCACGAGAGGATCATTGTAAAAGTAAATATTACATACTTTTAGTAGTACAAGCTGTGAATTATTTCTGCTCTTCACTAGTACACACTGCTTACTTCCTACTAATTGTTAGGTGAGTAAAACCAGTTTTTTAAAATTATTTATTTTATTTTTTTTTATTGTTCTTAATTTGCTATAGGGCATGTGCACTCACCAGAGAGAGGCAAAGAAAGAGGGAGAGAGATAGAGAAAATGATAAAGCAGGCCATCAGGTCTAGAAATAGAACTATGCCCGCTGTTCGTATGCATTGGGACCAGCAGTTAGCATAATGGCTATGTCGCTGGACTCCCATGTAGCTGACTGCAGTTTGCATCCCGGACCTTGTGGCTTAAAACTCACGCCAGGCGCGTGTGCATGTGTGCCCAAGATTCTAAGAGGAGAATGGAGGAGAAGGGATTTAGGCATGGCCATCCCCCCTGGGGGGTTATTTCTCACTTTCTGTCTCTCTCTCTGTCTGTCTGGCCAGTGCATGTGTCCTATAGCAAAAACCCCTCCAAAAAAAAAAGAAAAAAGAAATAGAACTATGGTCATCCATGTGGGAGTCCAGTGCCTTAACCACCATACCACCTGTTGGCCCCGTGAGTATGACTTTTTAAAGCATTTCCATGTATATTATATTATAAGTGCACCTGATGATAATACATATTTTTCCACAATATATTTGGATCCTAAGTTCATATTTTGTGATGCTTTAATTTTCTAAGAATGCATTTTCTTAGGATTATTGAGAAACTTCAATACTATAATTAATAATAATGTCTCTTCAGATTCTTTCATTACTAAAATCAGGATTCTAGGGAACCAGCAGTTAGCATAATGGCTATGTCGCTGGACTCCCACGTAGTCGACCGCGGTTTGTGTCCCGGACCCGGTCGCTTAAAACTCACGCCGGGCACGTGTGCGTGCGTGCCCAAGATCCCGAGAGGAGAATGGAGGAGAAGGGATTGCGGCGTGACCATCCCCCCTGGGGGGTGATTTCTCGCTTTCT